TTTTGTCTGCCTTTTATTTTAATTTTAGAAACATGAATCCAGAAACCTTGGAAGTCTTGCAGAGGGAGCTCACCTGCTCCATCTGCATGAACTACTTCAGAGATCCGGTCACCTTAGACTGTGGGCACAGCTTTTGCCGTGCCTGCCTGTGGCTCTACTGGGACGGGTCCCCACCTCCAATGTGCTGTCCCCGTTGCAAACAAGTGCCGGAGAAGGCAAATTTCAAAACCAACATTCAACTCAGGGACATGGCTGCCCAACACAAAGAGGCCAGAGCTGACGCTGCCAACGGCTCCGAGGAGCTGATCTGTGTGGCACATGATGAAGGAAGTTTGGTCTTTTGTGATGCTGAAAAAAGCCTGCTCTGTGGGCCGTGCTCTGATTCCCTGGAGCACATGCTTCACAACCACCGCCCAGTACAATGTGCTGCTGAGGAATTCAGGGTAAGTGGTGCCTCTCGTGCAATTTGGTAGACGTAGGCTCCTAAGGGAGAGAACGAAGATAATAATGAAAAGGAAATTGATTGATGATAATGGAGCTGGTGGAGCTGGTAATGTTTCAATGCAAAATTCAAAATTATAAGTGTATCCTGGCAATGCTGTGGGTCAACTTAGGCGCGGTAATCATAGTGGTGTTTTCCCTTTGCTAAGGTAGATTTCCTTAGATATGTTGTCCAAATATGTACAATTGGTGCTATTGTGGGGGAAGGTGGCTAGTACCAGGAACACTGACTTCTGGTGCAAGTTTGACTTCTTCAGTAGTCAGGATAGATGAAAATCTGGGTGCCAATTTTTCAAGAAATAGTTATTTTTCTGTAAGGTCTCCCCAAAATCATTGCTATGTTTCTGTCACTGCTGATATTCCAAATATAAGAATAAATGAGATTAATATGAAAAGATCAGACCTCTCCATTGTAACTTAAGGTGACAGTGCTATCAATATCTTTCTTTAACCATAAAAAAGAGGATAACATTTACAATAACCATCTTAGGTGTCACGAAAGCTCATGGTTATTTTGCAGAAGGAACTTCGCAAGAGAATGGGCACCTTGTGGAATATGGCTGAAGAAATGCAAAACACTGTGAAGATAGAAGCTAGCAAAGCTGAGTCACTGGAGGTAGGAATGAACATGTTCTGTTCATTTTTACTTTTATGTATTTATTAAGGCTCAGTGCATGAAAATTCATGCACTGGAGTGGGGTCCCTCAGCCCGGCCTGCCCTCTCTCTCAATCCAAGAGCCCTCAGGGGTAGGAGGTGACTCAGCGATCAGAGGAAGGCAATGCCCCATCACATCTCCGCTGCTGCCACTGCAGGCAATGCAAGCCTAGGCCCTGATCACCTGACCTCTGGAGGGCCTGGACAGCTGGGCGGCTGCCATCTGAGGCTTGCCTGAACCTCACGCCAGCCCTGGGTAACTGGGGGCTGAGGGGACTGGGGGACTCTGGAGGATTGTGTAAAACAATGCATACAATTGTCCCTCTGCATTAATGGATTTGCAACATCAGGTCAAAGATATAGTCTTTGGTCTTTCACGGATACATCTTTGAAGAAAACCTGCACAAATAGATATTGTTCAAGGGTCAATCAACTGTGCGTATGCAAAGCTTGAGAAGTATTCCCAGATAAAATATGAAGGTTTGATAAATCTTTTCAGAAATGGAATATAATACAAAATCACACTAAGTTTGACTGTGAAGGAGAGGAGAGAAATAAAGTAGGACCAAGGGGAAAAAATAGAGAATTTAAAAAATTCTATATATTATGGTGTATGCTCAAATATTTTTAAATACTTAATAGAAAAATCAAGCAAAGGAACAACAGAAAAAGAAGGCAATGAAAGGGAAATAATTGACAGAGTAAGAACTTCGAAGAAACATCTTAGGGACTATTTATTTATTTATTTATTTATTTATAAATTTTTATTGGTTTCAGAGACCAGCAGTGAGAGAGATAGAAACATCATTGATTAGAGAGAATCACTGTTGGGCTGCCTCCCTAACTACCCCTACTGGCATGTACCCTGTCCTGGAATTGAACCATGACTTCCTGGTTCATAGTGGACACTCAACCACTGAGCAACACAGGCTTGGCTAGCATTAGAGCCTTAAGAAGGCTTGATTTCACAAGAAAAGAGATTAGGAACATAGGGTCAGGGTGAACAGAAGGTCTTGAAAGTACTCAAGACACTTTGTGGTATAAGGCAAAACATTTCTCAAATATTATTTTGATGAAACTAAGGGAAAAAATGCAAGTTTCACAATCTCTATAGAGTGTGAATGTGTAATCCCTTTGACCCTCTATCTGCACAGGAGTACGTGGCCCTTAGGAAGGTGATGATCAGAGCTGAATATCAGAAGATTCATAAGTTTCTCTGTGATGAGGAGCGCCTCCATCTGGACATGGTAGAGAGAGAATCAAAGGAGATCAACCACCAACTGGAGGAAAGCAAAATCAGAATGACTGGAAAGACAGAAAGCCTGAGAGGAATGTTCAGAGAGCTGCTGGACATGTTTAGCAAGCCTGATTTGGAGATGCTTCAGGTGAGAGGGGAGCGTCCATCAGTTGAGTCTGGAATCCTTTTCTGGATAATGTGCCCATGATATCTGTATATACCATTCCCTTCAGATGAGTGATTATGCTCCTTGACTCCCATCATCATGTCTGTACAGTCAGTCACTTATTTTCTTGTTTCCTGGTAATCTTTGGGAGCTCTTTGCCCAAGTAGCTGACATAGGATAAAGTGATTTCAGTGTCATTTGAAGCACCTCCTCCACAGACAGATTGCCCAAATTCAGTCAATCTCTGAGCAGGGCAACATTAACTTTGCTGTGATAATTTTCTACTTACCTTCTCCTAATGCTCTGATACTCTGTTATTGTCATAATGCAACTTGCTAAAGACATTGAGGTTTTGACTCTTGCCTAAGCAAGATTTTTAGAATTTGGCAATCAATTTTACAGATCTCCCCCTGTTTTGCTTTCATCGTTATAAATTCTCCTGGGGAATAACAGGACAATGAGTGATATTGGAAACTTAGATCTGGTTGCATCACTTCACTCTCTGCCTGACCTCCTCCTATCCTCAGAACACCTTGGGGAAGCTCTGAGTGTTTTAGTTTAAGTGCTATTATTAAAATGGCCTCCGATTGTTCCTTAAAGGGAAATAGGAAAAAGTACATGATGAAAACAAACTAGAAAATATGTAAAAGGACATAATTTGCACATTTACCTTCTTTTTTTGTTTTGTTTTGTTTTGTTTTGCAGGAGTTGGGAACTGTGCTGGAAAGGTGAGTTCACATTAATATTTTATGAGAAAGTCATTCTCTTCTTGATGAGGGTGCTGTACATGTTTTGACCTAGAAAATTATCCCCTGTAGCTATTTTCTGTTTTCTTCCAAAAATGGCCCTGAGGCCTTCTGCTCTCAGAAGTTTCCTTTCCATGTAGCTGAATTCAAACATACCTAAAACATCTGACCTTCTGGGTTTTCTTACAGCATGTCACTCCCATCCTCTCCCTATTTAGCACAATAAAAATTACAGGAGTGATTTTTTAAGGTATCACAAAAAAAGTATCTATACTGCAGAGTTGGAAGGTTAAAAAGGCAGGTAAGAGAATTCCTATGAATGGATTGGGATGGCTTTTGTTCCAAGGACTAGCAATGACTCACCCTGTTCCATTACTGCAAGTCCCTTGTAGGTAGAGGGCAAGGTAATTACCTCCTGTTACCTCCTAAGAAGTTAGACCTTCAGGAACAGAGCTGCCAGGCTGGAGTTAGGTTTCCTTGTTTGAAAAAAAAAAAAAAAAAAAAAAAAAAAGATCAAACCTATATAGCTCTGTGGACACTCCTCTTTCAGACTCTGAATGTCTCATTGGTGAGGACTCTGAGACTCAAGTCCCAAAGGCTTTGCCTGGATGTTCTGCTCCCTGTCAGATACCCAGGGGTTTGATTCCTTGAGGTGGAGTAGATGGAGGAAACGATTCTCAATCATTTTAAAAATGCAATAATATCTGAGAAGAATGAAGAGGTTGGCACATGATATAATTTATAAATTTAGAAAAGAATTAAGGTAATATTTCTTATATCCTCAACAGGGTAGACTATGATATAATGTATACTCCATTAGCACAGAATGAGAGGATCCTGATGAAATATCTTGGTTGAAAAGCTGTGATTTTTAGACTGGTTTTGTGACTAACCTTTGCCTCCAAATGTCACAGGGCCGAACTGGTGCTGAATCAAATGCCTCAACCAGTGAATTCGGACCTCACTTCCTGGTCCTGCAATGGACTCCTGGAGATGCTGAACAAGTACAAAGGTAAGAATTTTTTCTGTAGCATTAGGCCTCAATTTATTTTTGGTTCTTAGATTTATAAGGTTGTTTTTTTCTATTTTAACTTTATCTTTTCTGACATGAAGGCAGTCCATCACTTTCCAAAATTACATCTTCTTCCCTTGTGTAGTCATATCACAATGAACTTTGCAACTTATATTGAAAATACAAAGCAAGACATCCATTTTTATTGACATTTGGTATACACAGAAGAAGCGAAGAGCAATGAAGTTGATCATGTGGTCACGAGGAGATAGACTATTTAGTTCTCAGAGTAGCCATCAGTATTGTATGTTTACTCAGTTACCCCACTTTTGAATGTTTAAATATGGCACTGATGGATTTAACCTGTTGTATATTATCAATGCATTTAGTATGCATTACAATAAGAATATTTATTATTTATAAAATCAGAAAGTCCATAAAAGAACTGAAAATGTCATAAGCAGAATAATTTTAGTGCTGTTAGAACAATGTCAAAACCACTGACAGAGAAGGATCTGTGTACTGTGAAGTACTTCTGTGTGCTGTAGAGGTAGTGATAACCCTTGTTCTTCGTAGATGATCCAGACTGCACTCTCTTTGCTGTCTTTATTTTGTATTTCCTTGGAGGAGGGACAAATGAAGAGACTCTGATTTATTGACCTGATTTTTGCCTCTCTCTCTAGTGGCTGATGTTCTGAGTCATGGAACCATCAGTCTCTGCATGAACCTTTCTGAGGACATAAGGAATATGCTGTTTGGAAATAATCGTCCCAACATGCCCAGGGAGCCCCAGAAAGTGCGGAGTTTTGCGACATGGGGAACCCATACTTTCACCTCTGGTAAACATTACTGGGAGGCAGAGGTGCCACGCGACTTGAGTTGGGTTCTCGGAGTCTGTAAAGATATTATCATGAGAGAAACCGATTTCGTTATTGATTTTGAGGAAGCTTCTTTTCTATTTTCATTGAAGCTGAATGATCATTATTATCTCTCCACTAACCGCCCACTCTTAGTTCATCATGTGAAAATGCCTGTGGGTAAGATTGGAGTGTTTCTGGATTATGACAAAGGAATTGTGAGCTTCCATGATGCTAGCAATGGCTCCCTCTTATGTAGCTTAGCTTCTTCCTCCTTCTCTTACCCTCTGAAGCCTTTCCTTTGCTTTGAAGCTCCATAAAAAGTTAAGTTTTTCCCATTTCCTTCTGAATTCCCATGTCTCTGAAAACTATTTTTATGAAATGTCCTGTGATGCACCTGAGTGATACCTAACACCTAGTACTTTAAGGGAACACATTATTGTATGCTTATGATGATACTTAACACATAGAACTTTAAGGGAACACATTATTGTATGCTTATAGTGATACCTAACACATAGGACTTTAAGGGAACACAATTATTGTAAGCTTAGAGTGATATCTAACACATAGGACTTTAAGGGAACACAATTATTGTAAGTTTATAGTAATACCTAACACATAGGACTTTAAGGAACACAATTATTGTATGCTTAGAGTGATACCTAACCCATAGGACTTTAAGGAACACAATTATTGTAAGCTTAGAGTAATACCTAACACATAGGACTTTAAGGAACACAATTATTGTAAGCTTAGAGTGATACCTAACACATAGGACTTTAAGAGAACACAATTATTATATGCTTAGAGTGATATCTAACACATAGGACTTTAAGGAACACAATTATTGTAAGCTTAGAGTGATACCTAACACATAGGACTTTAAGAAACATAATTATTGTAAGCTTAGAGTGATATCTAACACATAGGACTTTAAGAAACACAATTATTGTAAGCTTATAGTGATACTTAACACATAGGACTTTAAGGGAACACAATTATTGTAAGTTTATAGTAATACCTAACACATAGGATTTTAAGGGAACACAATTATTGTATGCTTTGAGTGATATCTAACACATTGTACTTTAAGGGAACACAATTATTGTATGCTTATAAAATGGCATAACCAGAATAAAGGCGTAAATAAAGGCATAAATGTGTCTTTTCTGTTGTTTTTTTAAACATATAATATATATAAAAATAAATTAATTTTATTGTTGATAGTATTACAGATGTCTCCCATTTCCCCATTACTCCCAGCCTCCCAGCCTCTACCCACAACTACTACCCCAGTCTTCACTACAATATTGCCCCTGTCCATAGGCCACATGTATATATTATTTTGCTTTCTTTTATCCTTCCCCCACCCCTACCCCCACATTAAAGTTTATCGGTCTTCCATGCCTCCATACATCTGGCTTTCTGTTGGTCAATTCATTTTGTACGTTAGATTCCTAAAAAAAAAAAAAAAAGTGAAATTATGATATATTTGTGATATGCTCACATCATTATTTATTCTCCTCCCAAACAGACATGGTTGTAGAGACACAATAACAAATAAACAAAACAAATAAACAACAAAAAAAAAACTACAACAACCCATCCACACAAAGCAAACAATGGCAATTTAGAAATAAATTTCTAATTTCCCTTCATCTATCTATATTCTACATGTTTTTGTCTCAGTTTAATAATCCATAGTTTGGTGGTGAGGGGAGCAGGCCTACGGGATTGATGCCTTCAACCCCTGTGGGGAACAAACCCCTGAAAAATGGTGGAAACAGTGGAGAGAGCAGTCAGGAGCAGAGAGGAAGTCGGCTGAGCTGGGAGGTTGCAGGTGCTGCTAGGTGAGCCCAGGGACAAAGGCTGATGGATTAGCCACAGGACATGCTCCCCCTTGGACACAGAGCCATCTCAAAGCTTAGGCGGGCCTACGCTAGGCCCGTCTTATCCCAGGGCTTCTTAACCGGGACCTAGAATGTGCTCAGAGGAAAATGAGAGACAACTTTGGAGCCAAGCGGTTCAGGAATGTTGCTTCCTAGCTGTGAGACCCTGGGTACGTTACAGAATGATCTGAGCCTCAGTTTACACATCCTCAGATGGGGGTCATACCTTCCCCCCAGGATTATTGTGAGTCAAAATAATAATAATAATAATAATAATAATATAATAATGGTAATAATAATACCTCCAGGACACCACCTCCCACACAGAGGAAACATATGGATTCTTATTCCTTGTTAACCATGCAGAGACCAGGCTAAGTCTATGCTTTGCTCTGACAGGGAGGAAGAGAAGAGCCACAGCCAGCATGGCCCTGGCACTGGAGGTAGAGATAAATGATGAGAGTGAAACAAAGGTGGGAAGATTATAATGGCAGTGAAAAGGAGAAAACAGGTGACATGAGGAAGGCTTGCGGGGACCCAGGCACAGCGTATTGCACTGAACACCTCCACCCACCTCAGTCCTTTCTGAAATCTGGGAGAGAGAATGGGTCTGATTTATTCACATTTCCGAGTTCCGGGATGTCCCAAAGAGATGCTACGTGAGAATCAAAAAGGCCCAATCTACTGAATCACAGACTTTGCCCCTAAAACACACACATACTTCTAAGTGGCCTCAGGGTTTCGGGGCGGCTGAAAGGAAGCTGGAGAACTTCAAGGAAAAGTCACCCCCAATTGTAAGTCCGAAGATGAAATCTGCCCTAACATGACAGCATGCATGGAGAGCCATGTGCTTTTGATACCTAGTTGTAGCAAAGAAAGGAGCAGAGGAACTTGTCAATTTCCTCTAATTTTTTTCATCACCCACCCTGCACACATACTCTCACATGCGTGCTGGCTCACATGAACATTTAGTCTGACGCTGTGTCTGTCTGCAGAGGATGAAGGAAAGGAGCTAGAGATGGGTTTTATCTCACTTTCTTTGGGATTTGCCTCCCCGTTCGAGCTTTTGAGTCAGGGTGAGGTCAAAGGCTGCACACGTGCTTGTTTTGCTCCTCTGTCACTAGCTACCAATTTTAGTTCCTAGTCTTTTCTGCTCTGTGTCCTGCCCCATGTGTCCTGACCCTGTGTCCTTGAGTTCCTACTTGCTTTGGGATTTAAGTTATTGTTATTTAAAAATAGAAAAGTCCTGAAGGAAACTCTCCAGGTTCTTTCCTTTGGCTTCTTGTTTTCCAGGTACTGTAAATTGTTGACGATGGATGCCAAGCAGGCTTGGTTCAATGGCTAAACCTCTTATCGTATTACAGTGCAATGCTTGTCTCAGCCTGATCTCACCACCAGAGCATACACAAACTTGAATAAAACTGGTATAGCAATGAAAAAATAATAATCCATAGTTTGAAATAATGTTACTTAATTACTTGTGCTGTGCATTCCTTTATAACTGTCAACACATTTATATATACTTAAATGTTATTCATATTCTCTACTTTATGGAAATTCACAGGATGATCAGACCAGTACTCTCATCTTCCCTAGTATCTCCATCTAGAGCTAAATCATTCATACATTATACTTTCTATATACTAAGTACATGACATTATGTCATCATAGTCATATCTCAATATCCACCCACTGCCTTTCCCTCTGAAAGTCTAGCTGTGAAGCTCTCTGTGTCATTTCCCCACACCTCTCAAATAATCCATTCTTTTTTCAGCTGTAATTTATCTGCTGGTTAAACTGTTTACCAAATATCAAGGCTTTATAATATTTTAAAAATTTATATAAACTTTGTTTTTCATCAATATGGTGGCCATATTCCACCTAATTTTTTAGTTGTGTGAAAACTCAACTTCAAAATAAGATTGTATTTTTGTAATCCGAACAATGAGGCCCCTGCCATATTATAACTTTAAAGAGCCCCTTTTAAACTTACTTAATTATATGTAATGTATTTTTCATTATGTGTTAATGTAAATAATATGTTTTACATTTTTAGTTAAACATCATTATTCATTACCCATTTTATTGAATATTCTGTAGCTATTCCCTCTTGTTTGAAATGCCAGCAGGTTAAAGAACACATGGGTGTTTATAAATACAAAAGCTTTTAGTATATTTTAATTTCAATACCTATTGCTGGTATTTCAAAATAATGTTCTAATTTTACTTGACATTTTTTGTCTTTCTTTATGATTTTATATTGCTTAATTTATAATGTACAAACTGTGCTTTTATAAAAATACTAGTGATCTGGGGGGCACAAAATTCATGCATGGGTAGGGGGGTGTTCCTCAGCCCAGCCTGCACTCTCTCCAAACTGGGACCCCTTGGGGGATGTACAACTGCAGGTTTCAGGTCTCAGCAAGCAGTTAGACATCCCTCTCACAATCCGGGACCACTGGCTCCTAACCACTCACCTGCCTGCCAGCCTGCTTGTCCCCAACTGCCCCACCCTGCCAGCCTGCTCACCTCCAACTGCCCCCACCACTGGCCTGATCACCCCCAACTGGCCACCCCTGTCTGCCTGCTTGCTCCCAACTGTCCCCCCTGCCAGCCTGATCATCCCCAACTGCCCTACCCTCCTAGCCGAATCGCCCCCAACCACCTCTTCCTCAGCTTCACCACCATGGCTTTGTCCAGAAGGACTCCCAGTTTAATTAGCATATTACCCTTTTAGTAGTATAGATACAAGTAAACAATATAAATCAAAAGCTCTTAACTTTCTCATCACTGGTGGTATTTAATTCATATTTTGGTCAAGTGTTTATGCTAAAGTAATTAATCTGTGGTAATTTTAGTCTCATTAGATCTCAAAAAGAGTAATTATATTGTGCAAAAAAACAAAATAAAAAAAACAATTGGAACTGTGCCAAACACTCAGTTTTTAACTGAAAGTTGATTTTTATATTATCTGTAAACAACAACACAGCCATCATAGATGTCCCCATCCACAGACAGTTTTTTTGTAACTTGAGGCCTTTTTCAGTAATCTGGTCCACCTCTGGCTAGGGCAATGAAACCCTTAGCTACCACCCAGCAGCAGGTGACAGTGCTGAGAAGAAAGAGACACAAACCCGGGTTGACCCCTGGAGAATTTTCTGTGGTGGTTCTGCAGCCAGGAGCCATAGCCCCATGCCACCCAGAGGCAGGAGTTGGAGGTGCCCAGATGTTTGATGCTAGCTCCTCCCACTGCAGAACCCAGCAAAGGAACCTGAGCTTCAGACCCCTGTAAAGCTGCTGGTAGAACTGATGTGTGTAGGGTGCAGGGATAAACCTGAGGACAATTTGTTTGAAATTCCACCCCTCTCCTCTGACCACAACCACCACCCCTAACAGGAGTTTTTATATTTTTTCTAATCCTGCTGCCT